TTCTCTGCCTTACATCGATCCCGACGACGAGACTCGAACGTGGATTTTTCCGGATCTGAAATATCGATTATTTCGTTGCAAGTCTCCTGTAAATGCACGAAATATCCAGAGTAACATCCGTTAAACCCGTAACTAGCTACTGTGGTCAAAGGATCCTAAGGAATTATAATGCACGATCAGTCTATGACCAATTGATAAATTGACGATGATCACAAAATGAATGGCTACCTCTTTCTCGAGAATTTTCTGAGGCATCTCCCAATCGAAATCCGCGGCTATTATTCAAAAGAAAAACTTGCTTCCATAAACATAATCCCATCCCACTATTCTACTTAAATGTGAACTACCTTCTTCGATTATTTTCAACATCCTTTTCATTTCGGAATCTACATCACCTTCACCACCGATCACTTCGTGAAGCATCGACCCATTCTGAACCCTATCCGCATTTTCGATTAATTCTTTGGCAAATTCTTCCTCATCACCTTTATGATCATCATTCTCGCCCTTACTTTCTCCCACAACTTCTATTAAGGGTTTATCTAGAATTTTACTTTTTCTCGGTGCTAATAGTTTGGTTAATAAATCCAAATCCGAAAAATCCTCTCCGGGGGTTTCTTTTGGTAAATCTATAACAATTTCACCGATTGATACGTCGTAAGAGGCTTTAACACGTTCATCATCTACTAAATTTCCCGGAAAATGAAGGCTTGTGCAAATATTTTACTTGTTTTTTAGACGCGAGAATTTGGGGATAACGCGTAAAAATTGGATGGAAAGCATTAAGCACTAACCGTAAATAATAGGGTTTTGCGTGGAAAGTAAAATCCGGACCGTCACAAAAAAGTTCGACATCCGATACCTTGAAATTTGAATTTTTTATAGGTTGAATTTAGCAGTTTGACCCTTGACCCGTTGACCTTGAAGTATTTCTTTCAAAATCCGGTCCATGTTATCGTTTAACGTTACCTTGATGTACGGCGTCTTTATGCAAATTTTTAAAAATGCTGGGGTTTGGGTTATCGTAAACGCAGGAGTAATCATTCTGCCTAGAATCCACGCACCTAAGAGTATTTATTAATCACCGTATATATATATATATATATATATTTTTTTTTTTTTTTTTTTTTTTTTTTCTTGTTAAAATTAATTTTCTAAAACAGAGGTTTCCTATCCAATTTAATCATATATTTTTTATAAAAATTTATTTTCTTATTTAAATTAAATTAATATGTAATGATAAAATTATATATAGTATATATGTAATAATAAAATTATATGTTACAAATCTCATATTTGGTAATAAGTTAGGAAAAAAAATAGCAAGTGCACCATGAACATCCTGCGGGAATTCCTAATGGTTTTATTGTATCTTTTTCGATTTTTGGAAAAAAGATTTCCATGTATGCTTTTTGATAGATAAAAAAGACAGGTTTACCAGCAGAAAGAATTCTCATTGTGCAAGTATAGACCATATAAACCACAAATTCCATTGGAAAGTGATGCAGTACGAGAACAATACTTTGCATTTTT